CCTCCTCCTCCTCCTCCTCCTCCTCCTCCTGCCCCAACCCTCAAGGACAGCCCAGTTGAGAAGAAGCTCTCATCCCAGGGACATCTGGCTATTTGAAACCAGGGCTTCAGCAGCACGGCTCTTCCCCTCCTTCCGTCAACAGAAGAACAATGCTGACCTCCACTGTTGGTGAGATCATTTTCAGGCAGTTGGAAGCATAACTCTGAAGAAAGAGGAGCAGGAGGGCTGGTGCTCTGGGCCCTTAGGAGGACCATCCAGGAAGGGCAAGAGAGAGCTTCCCCAAACAGATGGCGCTCCAACTTGGAGTCTCCACATAAAGGACTCCCTGAAGCTATGACTCTACGTGCTGGAGAGGAAGAATTCCTTCCCTTGGTCTTGCTCTAACTCCAGGGTGGGATCCTCTTTCTTTGGATAGCAAGCAGGGAACAAATTGCCTTCTGGGGCATGTCCCCAGTTATATTCTGCAGAGGGGAGGCGTTCAACGCCTTTCTACTACTCCTGCCTGCCCCGTCCTCAGGAGACCCAACCAGTCTGAGCCCCGAGCCCGCCCCCGAGAGACCCCAGGGAGGAGGTGGAGGAAGAGCGGCTGCAGAACCAAACCCTCCGAACCTTACAATCTTCTCAACTAGCTGGCTGATCTGCCTCTCGTTGGTGGGGGCACCGTCCACGTAGTAATCCATTCCACGCAAGCAGTAATGGCGTCCAGTGCAGGGGCTGTAGTACCCTTGGTAGGGCATCCTGCCTGGGATGGGGTACTGATGCCGGGTGTACGGAAGCTGTTTCCGAGACAAGCTGTTCAACATGTTAACCACGACTTCCCGTTCTGAAGAAAAGGGGTGGGGGTGGGGGTGAGAAAGAGAGGACAGCTAGATGGCAGAGCTGAGAGTTGCTCAGTCAAGGCCAACCTCAGAAAGCTCCACTTCTCAGAATGCAAAATTTGAGAACAAAATTCGCCCAACTTGCAGTGACAGCCACCGTGGGGGCTCGAGCCTTCACAACCACAACCGTTGAGTTGAGACCACAACACTCGCAATTCCCAGACAGCAGGGGAACTCTATAAAATCTGGGGAGATACAGACCCAACGTGCCAGGAGGACCTGCTTCACCATATGCACGGCCGCTTCTCCAGAGGCAGGAGGAATTCCCCCGGACGGCCTGCTGGAGAAGCTCGTGCGGCCGCTGTTGGAGAAGGAACGTTGGGCTGGATGACCGCCGGGCCTGCCTGGGGGTAGCAAAGTGGCTGCATTTGCTCCCTATTCTTCATATTTGAGCCCCCCCAAATGTCCCCGCAGGAACAGCTTAGTATAAAACAGGGAAACCCTGATGCTGCTCTGCTGTTTTACTTGCCATATGCAAAGCTGGGTGTTTTGGGGGGGGCTTTCTCCAAAAAGGGGTCACCAATGTTAAGAGAGAGGCGAACTACACATTATCGGCAGATGGAGTTGTGTTTCTGCCTTTCCTTCTGCTCTCACTAAGGCTGCTCCTCGGGGACTGAGTCTTTCTGGCTCTGGCCCCAAATCGTAGCCCCCTCCCCATCTACCCCCACATGTAAGGGGGCAGGAAAGACGGACTCCTTTCCCTGAGTTTCCTCCTTCTGCCAAAGGAGAGAGGCGGGCTTTCCTTGAACAAGGTCCAAGATTCAGCTCCTGGCTGGCTCCAATTTTCCTTGGCTGGGGATGATGGGGTTTGCAGTCCAACACATCTGTAAGGCACCAGGTTGGGAACAGATGGTGGTTTTATCTGCCGCTGTCAATTTACAGTATGTATCTTCTTTGTTAGTTCCACGGTTTTATTTTCTACTAAATATGATTTTGTAGGATCTGGCTTTGTCTTTCTAATGCAGTGATGGTTTTTATCCTGAAAAGTTGCCTTTTCACCTACAGTATTGCCTTTTCTCCAAACATGGAGCGCTACCACCAGCGGTATCTCTGGGGTGTAAAAAAAGTTGGGATGGCAGCTGTGAGCGTGTAAGCAAAGCTCCGCCCCCTTTTACGCGCATTGTGTGTGGAGACGCAAGTTAAAAAGGGGCAGGGCTTTATCTTGCAGTCGCAGTGCCCTCCTGACTTTTTTGACCTCCCCGCCATGGATGGCCCTGGCTGTCACTAGGTTAGGCTGAAGTGAATGTGTCTCTTCAGGGGAGTCTGCAGGGTGGGTCAGAGAGTCAGGGCGGCCGCTACGGCGGTGTTCTCGGCCCCTAAAAACAGGCGCGGCTTTCATCATACTGTTGTGGCTGCCATTTTTTGACCACACCCCGCAACTAACACCGGTCAGTTGCTAGACTGGCTGGTCAAGGAACATCCCGGTGCTGTCTCCGAAAAATGATGGTCTCTTTTAACCTTTAAGCATTTAGGGGAAAAGGTCCCAGCTCCTCCTGCCAAAATCCGGCATAGAACTGCAGTGAACACCCTTCGCTGCCCGCACTGAAGTCTTGTGGTAACCCTCGTGGAGCTGAAGCCCAGTCTGGTGCCAGTTTGGGTTTGTTTTAAAACCACCATGGCAGGGGAGAAAAGGGGTTAGATTAGGACTGTAGATGGATTTAACACCCAAACTCGCTCTGGATCCAGCCGGGCTCCCTTCTACCTTGAAGTGGGGATGGCAGGAGTGTCTGCGGGGTGAGTGTGTGTGTCAAAAAAGTCAAGATGGTGCGCCACCTTTTTATACGCGCAAATAGGGCAGGACTTTGATCACCTGGTCGTGGTCACCACTTTGAGGTAGACCAGACTAGGAAATCAAAGTCATGCATGCTAACCCTACTTTTATTATAAGGTTATAGTAACAGAGTCTTGCAAGTCTGAATGCACCTCCCCCCTCCCTCCCTTTATCTTCGTGAGAACTGGGGAGGGTCTTGTCTGAGACGCTTCCTCGAGTTATTTTTCTGCCCCCGAGTCAGGTTTGGTTCATCTGGCCACTGTCTTGGTTGTGGCTCTTCCTCCTGTTCCTCAAGGCTGCTCCTTCTGCCCATGACACCTTCTTGACTTTTTTGAAGCCCCTCCACAGACCCCCAGGTGATGAAAGTTCGCCCTGGGATCAAAGGAAGCGTTTCGGTTCTTCAACCCAACGGTTGAAGATATTAATTGTGCCACAAACACTTGGCACTCATCCAATAATGGATTTCTTGGGGGTTTTTTAAACAGGTCAGTTGGGTGATCCTTTTGAGGAGTGGGAGAAGGGGGGAGAGGATATCTCAGGAAGGCACCAGGGTTGCCTTTTCGCGTGCCCGGGCTGGGTTTCTGGCTGGAGGATGCAGCCCAGATGCACTGCTTGCCCTTTGCCTAGACTGGGGCCAGCGAGCATCCAGAGGGAGGTACCGTAATTGTTGAGCCGCTCAGGTTTCGGAGGGTACTCCATTGGCATCCTGCGCAGAATGGCGTCCATCCCGGCTTCCTGCAAGGCAAGTTCGTAACGGGTAAGTCTGTTTCTGGTGGGACGGACGTGTTCGGGATGGGGTGACCATTAGCTTGAGAGCATCAAGATTCCTGATGGAGCCCTGCCTTAACTCAAGTCAGTGTTGTCCAAACTTGGCCACTTTAAGATGAGTGGACTTCAACTCCCGGAATTCCCCAGCCAGCCATGCTGGCTGGGGAATTCTGGGAGTTGAAGTCCACTCATCTTAAAGTGGCCAAGTTTGGACAACACTGACTTAAGGTGTCTCAGAGCTGCCAGGCTTTGTCCCCGGTTACCTTGGAAGGAGGTTCAGGGGGTCGGCAGGGTGTGGTCAAAAAAGTCAAGGGGGGGCCGCATCGTCGCATCACACCCTGTGGACACCCCTGGGACGGGCGACGGAAAGGGATCGGTGACGGGGAAAGTGAATGTTGTGCTGGAACAATTTTCTGACTCAAGAATAGGCAGGAAATGCTTCAACTCAGCCTGGAGAAAAGCCGCCCCCTCCACCCACCGCACCACTAATTTCTCCTTACATTCCTGCTTTTATCATCGATCGCACCCCGGGAAGCCTGCCGTCGGTGCAACCGCCTCTTCCGAAACCTAATATTCAGAGGCGCCCTGCCTCTGAACACGGAGGCTCCGTCAAGTCCTCCCCGGCGAGGGCTCTTTGCACCTCAAAGCTGCCTGACCGCAGGGTTGCCGGTCTGAGTCTCGCAGCTCTTACTTCGGCTAGAAAGACGAAGAGGTGATTCCCTGTTGCGGTTTCTGCATTGCAGGTTGCAGAAGGGTCTCGGGGTACCTCAGACAAAAATATGCATGTCTATCCGCTCATACTGTCTGCAGCATAAGCTCAGGGGCGCCAAGTGCTCTTCAGAGGGGAAGTAACACTCTTTGCTGACCCCGCCGTCACTTTCAGGGTCTCCTGGGGCTGGCTGAGCAGACAAACTGGTTCCGTTCAATCGAGTCCCGGCAGAAGGTGGCCAGGCCGAGCTTCTATCAGCTGCAGGGAAATCCATTCTCTCCCCCGCCCCCTCCGCCAGCTTTCTTTTCATGCCATTTTTAAAATGGCATTTCATTAGAAATTGCATATCCCAGTCCTCAGCTGCAAGGGGTCCCAAAATAATATATAACAGCAATTAAATCAGAACCATAGAACAGAATACGATCATCCAGTAAAAGAAAACAACAACAGAAACGTTGAAAAGCAGCAGTCGGGGCAACGTAAAACTCCAAGCCTGGGAGAAAAAAGAGGGCTTTGATCCGGCGGCAAGGTAGATGCCCACCGAGGATTCACCAAGGAGCCCTCTGCCAGTTGCCCCCTCCAGCAATTTCTGCCAAGGGTTAGACAGCCAAATACCAGTCTGCTCTGTCCCCTTGACCAGTTATCGATTAGGTAAGAACAATCCTTCCCAGACTGGCATCCTTCAGACGTGTTGCATCTGCAATTCCCAGCGTGCCAACCCGTCTGGAGAATTGGTACGGATCAGGGCAGGGGCATCTGCAGGGGAGGTCCAAAAAGTCAAAATGGTGGCCCTGACTGCGTGAAGGAAGCCCCAACCTTTTTTACGTGCCTTGGGGAGACACGGCAGGAAAAAGAGATGACCAGGGCGTCAGACGTGTCCACGGCCATCAGGAAAGTCAAGATGGCAGCAAAATTGTGCAATTCAGTTTCACTCCCTTTTCATGTGCACCAGCTGTGGTGTCTCGGATGCTGCTGGACCTGACCCCAGGGCCTCCCTGGCCGGCCACCTCAGGAACCGCCAGGGTGGGGGCCGGTGGCGTGGCGCCCCCCAGAGGGATCCGATTCCACCCTCCACCCCCGGTTGCTTCTTCCTCTCTTCCCTGCCATTGGAGAAAACCAGCCCTGGCGTGGCGGGGCTTACCCTGGGGATCCGCGGAAGGTACGTGGTGTATCGGTTCCACGCTGCGCTGTTGTACGGCCCGGTCCTCCAGGTCGCGTATCTGTCGTCGCCCACAAACACCGGGTTGAATTTTTCTGTGGTTGGAAGAGGA